CTACTCTGCATAAGCCCTCGAGACTCATAAAATGCGAAAATAAACCTTGGACTCCTCAAGTCGCCCTATCCCGATCTCTATCCCTGTCCCTGTCCCGTTGCGGCCCGAAATCTACTTCGACAACTTTCCCTTTCTTGCTTTTGAAAGAAAACTCTGCCATTAGGGCAAGGTGATCACTAGGAAAATGGTAATTGGGGAAGCCGGGAACTCGCTGCAGATACTCCTTGTCCACTGCGCCAAGCAAGCCAGTCACCTGCAGAGCGTTGGAAGTATACCAAATGTAGTCGATCACATCAGCAAAGTCGGGAGTATAGTTGGTAAAGTCGAGTTCTCCAATAGCGCCATATGCGGATTTCAGGTTGAAAGGGTATGACATGCCGACGCGACTGAGGTTCCCATAGAGACGCTTCTCAAGATCCGGATGGTCTTCGATCAAACGGCCACGGCTCATCAATTCATGCACGGCAGATCCAGGGTAGGAGTTGAAGTCACCGCATATAATAAGGGGGATCTGAGAGCCACTACTATATTCAACTGAAGGTGCTGGTTCCACAGGCGTCGCAGTACCCCCACCATCTGTCGAATGCTCCGGCTCGGAGAATCGGAATGCAGTTTTATCTGTACAAGCGGGAATCTTGGAATACTTTTCGGCAAGCTGCGTTACCTCTTCCATCAAAATTGCAGCCTGGATAAGCTTCACGTCTTTATACGCTGGGTCCCAGTACAGGTGAACATTCACCACTATCAACCGCTCTCCGGACAATCGATTCTCCAGATACGTGACTACGGCAATATTGTCCTTCTGCCATAATCGGTTGTAGATGTCGTCCTGGCCTTTGGCATCGGGTCTGCGGACTGCAGTTTGGCCGAAATGAATCATATTCTTCTCGAGAAGAATGTATTTACTGCCTTTGAAGAACGTCGCACAACCGTCGACCACCTTGGCCTCCTCTTCGGGCATACCTTGAGCTCTTCCCTTTGGCCAGTAAACCCCCTTGTAATCGTTGTATGCAAGCTGTTCTCTGAAGAAGCCATGATAGCTGCCTTGGTCAATTTCCTGCAAACACACAATATCGGCATTGTACCCTTTTATTTCATTTAAAATGAGGTCCCTGCGATATTCCCAAGCAAGCGCTCGGGAGGGCGCATAACCATGTTGTTGATGGGTTGCTGATCTGTCACAGAGGGTATTATAGGAGAGGGCAGTAAACTTCTCCCTTTGGCCTTTAGTGGGGTTTCTGTCCGAATCATCCAGGACAATCCAATCTCGTTCCGAAGGAGGCAAATGAACTGCATGAAATTAGTGAATGATTCTATTTTAAATAAACAAAGGATGTGTCATACCCGGCATCTCTTCTTTAAGATACGTAATGAGTGCCTTGGTGCCTTCCTGCATAATCCGTGATTTGAAGACTTCATTCAAGGGGTTTCCTTCTACACCTAGAGTATCCAGTTGATATAGGTAACCCATTTCGTAGGGAAGTGAATGGATGTTATTGTCGAATAGAAGAAGCTTTTTGAGATTAATGAGCATACCAATTTCTTCAGGAAGTTCAGTTAGCTCATTGCCGGATACGTCCAAATGAGTGAGGCCTTTCAGCTTGCCGATATTTGGGGGGAGGGCCTTCAATTTATTGTGATTGAGATAAAGCTTTTCCAGAAAAACGTAGTCGAAAAGAGGGGTAGAGATTGCTCGAAGACCTTGTCCACCAAAATCTAGAGCCATCCAATCCTGTCTTTTAAAAGGGTCTTTGGTCGTTTTGGAACGGCTGCGTTCTTCGGAACCATTTTCATTGGTCTCGGCTGGGCTCGTTGTGAGCTGGATGCCCTTCGTCTGTTGAGCAACGGCCCGTGCGTAATAGTGCGGGGAGTTTGCTTGTCTCGACTCTGCAGCAAGTTGTAGTTGCTGCTGCCAATGCTCATTCATAGGCTCTTCGACTTCTTCATCCACGTTGGTTGTAGTGCCGTTGGGGATGTGGGTGGGAGTAAAGTGGGGGGCTGTGCTTGACAGGGCTCCGGATGAGAAGTTAGGTTGATGGCCGATAGCAGTGTGAGTAGCTTGGGAGTGAGGATGTTGGTGGTGTGGGTGTTGTTGGGAATGATGTGGATGATGGCTTGGATGTTGGAATTTCTGCATTGGCATTCCAAATCTTTGATGAGTTTGACCACCATTCATCATGACATGCTGCCCTTGCGAATACATATTGTATGGGTTATGGCCAGGTGACTGGTTGAGTGGAGGAGAGCGGGACGGGGAAGGAGTGTCGGTATTGAATTTCAGTCTGCCAGTTGGAGATCCAGTTCCGTTCCGGACGAGTTGTCTTTGGTGTGCGTTGGTGTGGTTGTGCTGCTGTGTTTGTTGCTGGAAGTAGAACTGCCCGGCCACAGGCTGCTGGAACCGGTAGGTACCATCTGCCATTTAACGTGGCAGACGAGACCGTAGGAGTAATTCGGGAGGAGGTGGGTTATCCCTCGGAAACTGGAGAAGTGAGAGAATAGGCAGGGGGTTCAGAGGCGTGAAGGGGCGAACTCGTTCTCTCCGTCTCTTCAACATGGGGCCCAAAACGGAACCACCAGGAAATGTCAACAGCTCAAATATGAACTCGACCCCAAGCACCTTGACAGTGCTGCAGCCAGCTGTGACAATTCTCGCGTCGAGTAACGTATGTACCCCGGCGGTCTGCCGACAAAGAAGACTTTGATGGTGGGAAGCTGTTGTGAGCACCACGATGAGCCAACGCGGTTCAAATGAATGCAGGCTTCGTGGCAGGGCGAAAGATCGATCCCTTAGAGTAGTGAGGATCCAGGACGGCTTATGGCACTAAGGGCAACAGTGTTCCTTTGACGGGTGCCGAATCTGAACGTGATTGCGCCTGGACGTGCTGCTGGATGAAATGCGAAGCGGTTTTTGTATCAAAGGCTGGAGAACCGTGGAAGATGCATCAGTCACATGACTCACATCGATCATATCATGTCAGGTGATAAATAGTCAGGTGGCAAAGCCGCTATTTCCTATTGAAGACTAGTGCAGTCATGTGCTCAGAGCAATCCTCGCCAAAGGATCTGAGAAGAAACAGTTCATCCTTCTGTGGAGATTGTTGAAATTTTCATAGATTCTTCAAATTGTTCAACTTTGATTTTCAATTACACAATCATCATACATATTTGATATTTGTGAACCACCTTAGCTTGTAGCTAAAGAGAAGAAGAATATAAATATATAATTTTTATATTAAAAAAATCAATATTTAATATAAATATATCTTGTTGAAAATGATCACTTTTTTTCTGATTGAAATCAAATAAATAGCAGATTGTTCCTGTGTTTAAAAAAAAATGAGTTGACTTTGAGGTGATACTTTATATCTAAGAAATGGGAATATGAAAATAAAAATTGATATTATCACAAAAATATTGATTTTTCTAAATCTTAAGATGATACAGAGATGCTGAATAGATAGAGTTGATTTGATATTTTCACTCATATCTAAGGTATAGAGTAAATTGTTCTTGTGTTGCTAACAAACTGAAACTGTTTTTTCTCAGATACTTTGCAGGATAATTGCATATCACAGAATTAAAGACTTATTTGAGTTAGCTCATTACCAATTTAAAATTAACTTATTTAAAAGAGTGACTAATTATTAAATCAGTGTTAAAACAGCAATTATCCGGGCGTACAGTTGAACGTGGTTAATAAAAAGTTGAACATGGTTAATTTCTCAGGCTGTAATAACCTTCAGCGTGGTTTTGACCATAAACCATATCAACCTCCCCATTAAAACTACATATATTAATCATGTTTCATATATATCTCACACATCTTCAAATGCATTGAGCACAGTGATTTTATCTTATTTCTCAAAGCTCTATCTTTTAATCAATATTAATCACTAATTCTAGCTTATAACTGCTTTTCAGATATTGAAGTGTCTTATATAATTATTGAAGTAGAATGATTAAATGAGAGCTGATTAATAATATAATAAGAATGTGTAAAAGATATTTAGTATGTATGCATTTTAATGAGGGAGTGAGAGCTGAGCATGATTTATTTTTCAGACTCACTTTTTTTAAACTATATTCAGTTTTTAATAAACCACGTTCAATTGTAATCTGCAACTATTCTGCGAAGCGGCTGAGCTTGCTGAGATAATCAAAAATGAGCGAGCAATCAGAAGGTTTTCATGAATTGAATTGATTTTTAATATGTAAAAAATAGATTCATCTGTAATAAATGATGTCATCAATGATGAGTATATAATATTTGATCTCTTGATGAGTGTGTGTGCTTTCCATGCATATTGGATATAGGTTTGTGGTTTCTCCTGAAGCCTTGGAAAAATTGGAGTGGTGAAATTACAAAACTTGACTTTTACCCTAAAGAGTGTAAAATTGTCAATGAGAATCAATATGTCCACATTTTAAGGGGCCCGCTTGCCTCGATGGTCTCGGAATTTCTTCAATGGAGATGGTTTTTGCACGGCCGCACAACCAAGGTTTTCCACAATCAACTATAACAGCCCAAAATTCTGTATCGTCATCCCGTTACATACTTTGTGGTCGGTTTTCTTTCTTCAGAAGTTAAATCAAGCAAATCTCACCATTCTCAACAATGGTCCAGATGATGGGCCGCGGTGCCCAAGTTACTATTTACCCACTACTTCCTCTCTCTGGCTCATTCCCCACAAATTCAAGTTTTGGCGCTGTTCCTCGAAGTTTTCTTCTGGTTACTGGCTAACTTGGTGCCGCCCGCGAAAGGCTAACTGGGATAAGATGTTCACAGAAAGACATGCCGAATAGGCACCAGAATGAACTAAATTTTTGACAGCCCACTTGGGATGGAAGGAAACGAATGTTGAAAGGAGGCACAGGAATCTGTGCCCGGAAAATAGCATCAGGCTGGCGCAACAAAAATTCTCAACTGTTAGTAGGTGACCTGCATGCTACACCTACCAACAAGACGAGTTTGTCGGTATAAAATAGATGGAATGTATGTAAGTGCTGTTCATACTACTGTATATATATCATGCACAGACGGGACAAACCTTGACGCTTTGCCCGAAGCCCATTTACAAGACTTCGTCACGAATTATGAGAGGAACGAGAAAACATCATTTCTATCGAAGCTATTTCTCGGCCAGCTATTGGAAGAGAGAAAGGCCATAAATAGCTCTCCATCGATGAACGCAATATCCAATATCTTTAGATCTGGCCATGATCTCGAAGGGTGGATAGGTAACCGTATCATCTGAAAACGGGTCTGTATCATATGAAAGAGTGAAATTAGATTCCAACACTGATGGACCCCGCAAATGCATTGGAGAATCGATCGTTCAAGCGCTCCAAGAAATGCTGATTGCTTTTTACCATTCTCAGGCATTCAAACGAATGAAAACGCGCGTGGGGGGCGCAGCGATTGGACCAGCGAACCAAGATGAGGGGCAAGGAAGGAAGTTTGTGTGCACTGCCCATCGCCAATCAGAGCCGCCAAAATCAAGCCCATGTATCAACAATGTTTCCAAAATCTGTTCTTAGGAGATTCGATGGATTGGATTTAGGATTCATAAAGAGGTCTAGGGCTTCAGTGCAGTTATCAAACTCGAATATAGTGATCCATATTGGAGCTGGCTTCATGTAAGGGGAACGTGGCCTGACTTTGGCCCTGGAATTGTCACTCGCTTCGCTCTCCAAGCAAAGGAAAGATATTCTCCTTTATTGGCCAGCGCGGGACAGGCGAGCGTAACCCCAGACATTGGCTTGGAAATTTTCAAGAGGAGATGCCAGAGGTGGCTGCGCAGGCGGTTTGCCTTGGCCGCTAAATAATCAGTTGATTGGAGGTTTCCCCCTGGCTTGCTTATCTCTGCTACAGACACCATCGTCATGCTACCAGAGTGGTAACATTAAACCATCAGCCAAAGCCCTGAAACTGTCCCCGCGAGTGTGGACCAGTGGCTTCAACTACGGTATCCAGATCAACCGTGAGCCTCAAGTACTTCGTAGTTCTTGAATCGTCGAATAGTCATCTGGTTTTAAAAGCATTACCTTGTCCCTCTTGTCATGCCTCACATGCTCCGCTTCTTCTTCTTCTTCCTCTTCTTCTGTGGGCATCAAAATTCACTTCCTCTCTCTCTCTTTCTTCCCTCTTGCTCATGCTGTCGCTCTCAGGTTGTTGTAGGATTGTGAGCCCATAATGCCCAACCGCTCACACTGGCCACAAACCTCCTGCACCAATTCAACGAGCGTAGCCAAAATGAATCCTAAATATTCTTAGGTATAGTAATTCCACAGCCCATTATCCAAGTGAGCTTTTTCGAGTGTGGTGCTTCTTTGGTCGTTGCTAAAACCTACTTCGTAGTAGTTATGGCCCAATATTTACGTAACACATACACACGAAAAATTACATCGCGTGAAACCGGAAAATTTCAGCACCATGTCCGGGTCCGCAAACTTATCCTACCTCTTCATCCCTAGTTCGCCTTTGGCCTATGATCCTAAACACCATGCCTACCAGAGATCCAATTCTCTCTCTCAAGGATCTGCAATGCCAACGACTTCGTCATCTTCCACCTCCTCTTCCACTGACTACACGACGTACCCACTGGCCAAGCGCAATGGCCGTACGATTCTGCGCGACCCAGATAACCCGTACCCACTTCCCTGCGATATTCCAGAGATCCATCGCCAGTCGCTGCGTTCACTCATTTTGATGCATGTGTTCGGCGCGCCCTTTTGCACACCCCATTTTGCCGACCACCCGCCGAAGCGTGTGTTGGAGTTAGCTTGTGGCTCTGCGTTATGGTCAAACGCTTGCCATGACTACTTTGCCCGGAGAGGACACAAAAACATGTCCTTCACTGGCCTCGATATTGTAAACCTTGCGCCAGACCTTCAGAAACAAGGCATTAATTGGCAGTTTAAACGGCACGACCTACGGAAGTCTCAATTACCGTTTCCCGATGGTTACTTTGACTTTGTGTTCATAAAAGATGCTGGGATTTGTCCGTCAGGATCAGAGTTGCAAACGCTTCCATTGGGTGAACCCCTTCGTGTTCTGAAATCCGGGGGTGTTCTTGAAGTGTGGGATTCAGATCTTATATTTAGAACGCTTTTGCCAAATCCGCCACTTGTACCTGGGCTATCCGGGGAAAACGTGGAACATGCGGTAGCCACAGGCACATACACCATATTTCCAGCTACCCCATTCGCAGATGCCCAGAACAAATATTTACGCGATTACAACTCCTGGGCGCAAAAGGCTTTTGAACTTCGCAGACTAACGCCCATGCCATGTGCCATGATAGGCCTTTCCTTCACATCCGAGTCGGATTCCTTCAATAGCATGGATAGTCGTAGGATAGCAATTCCTTTGGGAGAAGTCAAATGGGAGCGAGAGCCGCAGGATGGCGCATCCAAAAACTGGAAACAGCCCAAGACCTTATCAGCAGACCAGCTTGCCATACGCCAGACCGCGCTATTTACAATCGTTCAAATGATCGAGAGTATGGAGCCCAATGCTGATGGAGGTTAGTGGAAAAGGCAGAGATGAATGGGATCGATGGTGGACTGGAATGACAATGGACTTGCTGCAGAACGGCGGCGTGGCAAGTGGCGAGTGTCTAGAGGTCGGAGCATGGTGGGGTCAAAAGCGATAACTGTGCTTGTTCAATTTTTCCAATTGATTTTATGTCGATGGCGAGCTATTATATCCTCGAGAAACGGCGGATAACATTTTCTCATTTCGGATCCTGCTATGACAAGCCTTGGTTGGCACTCTCATCCTCGCTCTCCTTCGGACCCCCCCACCACTTTGTTACATCCCTCTCTGCGGTCAGCCAGCTCATGTCTCGACAGGAATTTTGGGTGTATCATATCGATTCTTGAGGGCGCGATATCGTCTCAAGTAATACCTGCATTTTACCATCGTTAGCGCTCCGTTTCATTTTTCTCCTTTATTTTCGTATAATTTCCACAGCGCCATCGCAAGCCAATGTACCAAAACCAGCACAAATAATATCGGATTTTGGCACGACGAAATAACATTTAAACATGGTGCACGAACTGTGCGAGCAAGAGGCCGCTATTCGGAGGGTGCTTCTTCTTGGGGATCCGCAAATCCCCCGTTTTCCCTCATTGATCTCCGACCTCTTTCATTTTGGACCATATGTTGCCCTTTTTCTTCCACTTGGCTTTTTGGGGCAATAATATCTGTACATTTCCTTTCCCCTCCCTCTTCCTTTTTTATCGTCACATACTTGCTGTAAATGAAATATTATTCTGTGTGTATAAAATGAGGGAGCCACAGGGGAATTCATTTTATTTTTTTATTTTTTTGCATGTTCTTCAATTGCCGATTAGAATCACCGGATCGCAACCCAAACAACCATCGTGGGAAAATATGAGAACAGTAAAAGAAGGGGAGAAAGACACAAGCAAGGAATATAACTCACAATGCCTCAATTTCTAAAACCAATCCAGAACCCGATGGGGCGAGTTTCATCAGTGTTAGCATGTCATTCTCAAAAAACGAAGCAAGACTAGCATAAACAACGTCCCTCCCAACGGCGAAATTTCAAACAGCTCAAGGCTATCAAATCCCAGTAGCGCGGAGTAAAAATTATCAAACCCCAACCTTCCGATCTTAGTCACCCTCCTCCCTGAGGGACACATAACTATCAAACGGCTCAAATGACTAAAGGGTGGAGCACGGAAAACGTACCTTTCTTCACATACTCCGCCCTCCGTATTCCGTCTACGATTTTCGCCTCGTCAGTGACGTGAGCCTGGCTCGCAAAAGCACGGTGTAAGCGTTCGCGAAAGAATTGGTAGCCGAGAGGGTATTCGCGGCCAAGGAAGAGGAGCTCTGAATTGCGTCGACGGCAATCTCCAGTCAGCCGTTGATCAGGTGGTGATTAAGATCCAATTGAGAAGGGGTTCGTTCATTGGAGGTGTGGGATTATATGACGAATATGGTATCTAGTCTTGAGCGTAGTCTTGTTCACCCTTGAGCATACCTTTGTAAATCTGGATGACTTGGTGCCGCAGCTGGGGGGTGGTCATGGTGACGGATCAGGATGGGAATGCTGCCAGTGTGCTCCCAGCTCCAGGGCCAGGAAGAAATTCAAAACGATACTTTCAGTCGCAGAGTTGACGAGCGAGAGCAAAGGGTTGGTCTTGGAAACACTGACTAAGCAGTAGCCTAGAGTGCAATTCGATTCTCGCAACAGGAATATTTGCTTGGGGCTATGGCTGTTAGCGGGCAGTTTCGATATATCCTGGGGATCAACTTGGGTTGCGAGGTCTCGGACATTGTTGCGCAATAAAACAGTTGGTTCTGACTACTCTGTACACGCTACAGCTATCAACCTTCAATTCGGCAATTTGTGGTGAAATATGCCCCAAACAAGATGTAAAGCTTGGATGTAAATCGAAGCAATAAGTAGAAGTACACTGTTGTAAATCTCGTCTTTTACAAATTGAAATTTTACGACAGCACTTCGCAATTGTAAGTAGTTGTTTTGGTGAGTTTGGTGCAATTGACCACGTGATCGATTGATACCGAGCTCGGGATTGTAAACCGAAGCCAACCTCTGATTTCTGGAGCAAAGGGAAAGCCAGGTAAACTTATCCAAACATCGTTTTCTTTTGTCGAGCCACAGGTCAGATTATATACTTAATCCAATAATGGCCGCCTCCCGCGTCGTTTGGCGGCAAAATTTACGATTTCAGCCAAACGCTACAGGACGACGAGCCGTTACAAACTGTCGCTCAATCGTGAACGGTGCTGCAGGCAGCGCTCGTACAACAACACACCCATATTCCCACGATCCCCCACCTTCTCCAGCTGCTCGTGAATTTGATTCAAGGTGGCTTTCAGTGATTAAAGGGCGATTAGGAAAGTGTTTTACCTTCGGACTAAAACCACACCAAATTGACGAAGCGGGGGAGATACTCCAGGTTATAGCTCGGGATTGGCGAGAGTTGACTGCGGGGAGTGAAGGGTTTCTCACGGGGATAGAGAGACAGGGCCTCTATCGTCACAATGTCGTATGGGGAGAAATGGTATATACCTACTTAATCAATGGTTGGGGTTTGGCGTTATAGACTGATTTACTTTCTTTCCCCTTTGCCGAATTGACAGGACATTATGGTATGTAGCCCCTCTATTCCTTCTTTGCTACAACGACTGCAATCTGCTATCATTGGTACACTGTGTGTATCACTTTAGTGTATCCTTTTCCAAATTATTTGTTTCCGCACCTTTTTGAAAAGTGGTACATGCTAAAATAAGCCAATTATAAGGGTAGAACTCTCCGCCTCCTGCCAAGCCGCAATGATCGGCTGTCATATACTCAAGTAGAAGGTGTCTAATCCCACCGCAATGATTTCAGGACACGTTAATAACGTATCGTACGTGAGATATGCGGAGACCGCGCGAGTCAATTGGACAAGAAACATCGGTACCCACGTGGATCGCGCCAACAAGAGGGCATGGTTTAACCTCCTCGGCTCAACCGGTGTCGGCTTGATATTGAAAAGCATCAAGATAGATTACAAATTCGTAAGTCTTGAGAGGCCAATATCGCAACGTAGACGAACATGGATATGCCGTGCATTCAATTCGTCTAGTTGAGCAGAACCAGTCCGGAAAAATACCTGCACTGCCAAAACAGCTGTGTCCATGCTAAACTTGGAAGTTGATGGGCTGACGCTTTCAAACAACAAAAAATAAAAACATGCAGCCTATGACCGCTCCGGATAAAATAAGCGTATACCACAAACTAGCATATCCGCCTCCAGCGCCTTCTTCTCCAGCTTCCTCTGCATATTCGTCATTCCAGCTGGATGTTCTAATACTGTCCGAGGCGCATCAACGTCCTGCCGCGCGTTGTCATGAGGATATCGTCGCATATGACTACCAGCTTGGGCGTAAAGTTAAAATGCTCCCGCCGTTTATGATGGATCAATTCCAGACATTGTGGGAGTTACAGGAAGCATCGAAGCGGACATGGGGGGTGAAGGTTAAGGAGATTGAAGATCGAGTGAGAAGCTTGGAAATAGCAAGTTGGGATCGGCCAGATGCTGTTGAGGATATGGGTTCTTCAGGATAATGATTAAAAGGTCGAATTTGCCCAAAGGTATGGAGTATATATAGATTGTTTACGTATTAAATGATGGCCTCTGAGTGATGAGTGTTTAGAAGCCCCCTAGAGATGGGTGTCGTCTGAAGCATGGCTTTTGAACAAGTTTTCAGATTGACTACAGGTTTCGGTCTTAGAGCTTACTATTAATAATTAGTTTCCCGGACTCAGAGAACTGATTTAGTGATGTCGCACAAACTTAAACCCATTACGAGCCGTGTATTTCTTTTCCAATCATTGCTTTATGAAATGCTGGCTCTCGCTCTCATCCTTCATCATTTTGTTCAAATTGTTGTGTATGAAGTTGAAAAGAAAATCCTTGGAAGTCTCAATCATACATAATAGTAATGTTTAAGTTTTTAATTGCACAAAACGGCAGAAACGGATTGAATTGACCCACCTTCAGATACCTCCAGAGGCCAAAAAAAAAAAAAAAAAAAAAGGCCTGTTCCATTGGAATTCGTGGGTCGCCCGCCCATTGATGGTATATTACGAGTACTGAGCATCATGTCAATCCGCAGCGATACGTTACGGTATGGTCACAGCTTTCCGGTGAGCCTCATCCGGTATCCGTTTGCATTCGATCAAGGCCTGAGTGAGGAGCTGTTATTTTTGGACGGAGACAGCAAATCTCTCTCCCATCAGGCATTACATGGATGGCTGCCGAAATATTGTGATTTCAGGGTTTTGGTACCACTCCCGAATACCAACCTCTCTTTGTTAACCCCGGCTTCGAGCGGCGTGCATCCCAATTGAGGAGGGTCTTGCACTCTGGGTCTTGTCATCACAGCCGTCAAGAGCCATCTCAAGCTTTTGACCCGTGCGTTGCAAGGATACGTACATGTGGGGTTCGAAAATTCCATTATGGAAAGGGTGTGAAAATTGACTCCAGGGGTGAATGTGTTAACTGCTGTGTGAATGCACGAATATAGAGCTCTAATACTCCTCGAACCGATCATTGATGAGGAAATAAGTGGTGTTGCCTGTATTGCCTGTATATTGATTCCGGAGAACCTTCCACATTGAACCCAGTCCGTGATAATAACATCTACTTACTGAAAGAAATTTCCATGCTGATCCTTTCCAGATACCCTCAAAGAAAGAGACTTCTGACTGCGTAAGTACTTCGCCAGGGTTCTTAGCAAGGATCCCACACGCGCACACTCGGAGAACGAGAAGTAGGCTTAGCTCTCCGGCGCAAACTTCCTACCCAGGCAAATCTCGATGTTAATCCCAGTGTTGACATTCTGCAACAAATAGTCATCTACTACCACGAAGATGTTGCAAGGCTGCCCTTGCGCTTGAACAAACAACGGGCTCATTATTCAATCCCTGTGGCAGAAGATTCGCTTGGAACCAGGTATTCGTTGGCCCTGGCGGCGCCTGTCAGAACGCTGCGCAGTTCTTTGAGAATCCACTCCGAAATGTCATGGTAAAATTTTTAGCTCCACCATTTATATCGCCTGAGATCATCGTCAATCATCATGTATGGTTAAGGCAGGGGGTCTGCCCCGCAGCAAATGGATCTAAGTGTGGGTATGAATAGGAAGGACGCACCCACGTTTGTCCCTCACAGATTGAGATAGCTGACTTGACACCGCGGGCGGCAAGATGAAAACAGACCTCTGCCTTCTTTTGAATCATGAGTAGGAATCCTTATTCTTCTACCATGCATTTCATTTGCTGAAGCCACGGACACCTACCCAACTCAGCATGTGCACCCCACACTCATGTTGAAATATTACTTGATCCACATATGCATTGGTTGTCAAATGGTTTGCCTGGACATCCATGACTGAAAAAGAAGGCCCTTCAATCGTTATTAGTCACCGCTACGCAGTGTTGGTTTGGAACCGACACCGATTAGTCCAAGTTCGGCTTCCAGATGAGGTGAGGAGACAAATCGCCCCATTTTGACTCGAAGGGCAAATACTCCGTACCGCGCCCATCGTTTCCCAATTCTTTTAAGTCAAGCACGTATTTGTCGTCCGAATGAAAGTTTCCCACAGCCCGGATGTTATAAAGGAACTCAGAAATGCACGGGCAAGAATAGTGCGGGGCGGAATCTGTCCAGAAAACTACCGCCGCTTGTTCACAAGTCAGCAAGTGGGATGATCCGACACCGTTGATTCCCTCCCAGGTTTGCTGCAATGCTTATCATCATTTTGGCACAGGCTAGCGCAGAAGCGGGATTGGCCTCCCCATGCAGTCTGATCTGTCCCGCATAAAAACCCAGTTGTCCCTCATGATTCTTGATTCTTTTTTTTTTTTTTTTTTTCCCCCGATGAAAACAGAATTTTATGTCGCCTCTTTTGCTTTATTTCGCGTTTATTTTAGCCCCCGCGGGTTGCGGAGAAATTCTGTCAATCAACAATGTAATGCTTTAGGGCAACGAATGAGGTGCCGTATTGGTACGGCATGGTATTCTAGGGCGTATCCGTTTCCCAATACGTAAAATGTCGAGTCAGACAGGTGTTTTGAGTGGTGAAACACCAACACTAACCTAGCAACTTGACTGATCGATTTTAGCTGACGACTTGAACAAGGATGTCCGCCGAAGATCTGTTTGACTAGCTCCCCTTTCCAAAGATTCCAACTGATCCTGGCCTATCAACAAAAAGCAGAATTCGAAATTCCCAATTAGCCGGGTGCTTCGGGCGAGGATTTTGTTGCGGCCTTGTGAGGCTTGGCACCTTCCCCACCACAAAAGGTAGATCGATGCATTATTGACCATTTCGGTGTAGCTGAATCGGTCTTAGCACTGATTCGCAAGCCATAGGTTGGTTTGGAGCTGGCTCCAACAAGTCTCTGTCAACTGGGCAGACGTGCACGCATCCATCCAATCCATTCAGGTCTTTGCTCTCGATGCAAGAATACCAGAACAATGAATGCATCTCCAACCAGGTAAGATATGCTGCTGCCAGCTTTTAGAATCCTGTTTCGTCTGCATGAGGAATGAACTGAAGTGTGGCTCTTAAAAATAGCTGGAGCCGTCGAAGCTTGGAATGGACGGTGGACTATACAATACAGTACGCTGCGTACAGCACGGCAGATTTGGTTAGCAACTTGTGTAATACTAATAATACCTTCCTTGCGCGGGTACGGAGTACAGTACCAGCCGTCTTTCTTACCGAAAATTACGAAGCACTTGGATACGGTATTCTCGCGGTATCCACTGACTGTCTTGTTACCCACCAAACGCCGCCTCACCAAAGTCTTTTCTTGAAACTGCCTACCTGACGACAACAGATCACTTTTCATCGGGCCAGCAACTGTCACCGTCACCACAAACCGATCTTTCGAGGAGTCATTGATTGATGCTGCGACTACAACCTCATTTCCCTTCACTTGCTTTATCTCCATCCCCTTCTTGTTGTAATCGCGACACGACTTCCTACCCTGCCGCCCTCGACTCTACTTTCTCTCCCAGCTATCCGTTCCTTGGCCCCCGCCTGCCAAGTGGATTTGGACCTGGCATATCGGAATCCCTCGTCCATGCCACGACCAGGAGGCGCAGGCAGGAAGACTCATCACGGAAATCGACATGAGAACGGCATCCCAGTTTCCGGGAAAAAGCTCGCCAAGCCAAAGTCAAATGGCCACTTGAATGGCAATCTTAATGGTGCACCTCCGCCCACGCTTTCTTCACCCTCGCTCGTCCCAGCCATCCAACCAGGTCAGCCTCAGACAATAGCTCGTGCTGGGGATCACAGGCTGGATGCAATGATGTGCGAATCAAAGGCGGAATCAAACGGACGGGGCTCAAGCAAACGGATACGAGAAAGCCAGCACGGTCGTGTCGAATGGACATTCATACACACCAGCATCGACGAACCTATGGAAGGCCAACCTCTACCTTCGGGGAACAAACGCGGACAAATGTAGACAAGACAGGCAGAAGCATCTCATCGTTGAAGAAAACATCATCACCAAGCGGCTCTGTGAACCCGCTCTCGTTAGCCACTGCAATTCTCAAATCATGCCCGATGTACGACACTATCGCCATCCTCATCTTTCTCCTCCAACTGCCTCCAATAGTCTTGACCCTTGTTCAGTTCTTGTTTGCATCTCTAACCTTCATGCCTCCTGCTGGCGTTTCTACGAACGTTTTGACTTCGAATTTCGACATTTTTCAGGGTCCTGCTGGAACTCCCTCCCTTTCAACAATGATCGCCATGGATGGGTTTTGTCTCTTGGTTTGGGGCCTCTTTATGTGGACGTGGGCGCAGAATTTCGCTATAGATCTCGCTCAGGTCCAGGTTGCGATCACAATGGGAGGAGGAAGTTCGGGGAAAAATGAAGGAGTCAATGCTTTCTGCGTCTTGATGGTTCTGATCGTGCATGTTGTTCGTAGTAAAGGTGTACAAGATTTTGTCATAAGTTACCTTTTGTCGGCCAAACTGATAACCACGGATACCCTCGCTCAATATTCTCACCTGGTTCCTCAAGAATTCCGACGGAAAGAACCTCCATCTTCGCCAAGCTGGTTGCGAAGTCTCCTTGCTGTTCATATCCTTGCACAAGCAGGCACTGCTATGGCAAGGCGCTCGATGGCCAAAAACCGCTCTTCTCCACCGACAAAATCCGGAAAACGAACTGATACCGAGGCATCTGCTGGTTCCCAAACTCATGTCGATTCGTCGACGTTCGAATCTGCCACGAATGGTTCTTCTATTTTGACTCCTGATGGTGCTGTGATCGGACCATCTATACTGAAAGAAAACCGAGAGCGACTCTCCAGTGCAAAGAAGAGACGAAGACAGGCGAATCAAGTGAGAAGTAGGCAGCCGTTTTGGGCTGCTTTGGCAAGTACCAAAGTCACCGTGATGCGAGAGTATGATCATTCACGTAATGGGACATGGTCTGCTCCTCATCATCCGATCACTGAAGACGATGCCGAGGGAATTCCCTTGGATGATGGGTTTATATGGATTACGCAGGTCGATAATTCTTCGATTAAGTTCGCGGCAAGCGATTTTGCTCAGGTAGATGATGCCATGTACGACAGTAGAGATCAGGATATTCGTGCGGAACCTTTCTATATTAGGGTAAACGGTGCTCATTGGGCGACTGTTACCCTTTCTAAAGTTTCTAAGAACGCAGGTGAACCCGCACTTGTCTGCTGGAGAGGGGAAATTTCTGGGCTGGCGCCAGATTGTGCGTACACTTGCAGCTTCATTCGCTACGATACCGACGAAGCTATCTGTGTTATGAGTGTGAAAACACCACCCACTCCTGACACCGACCAAGGTAAAACCAAACCTTTTCACATCCACACATTCTCTTTATAACAGTTCCACTAACATGTCCTTACAGCTCTATCCGCCGTTAATATCTCGCCGTCGCCACGACAATCTCTTCGGCCCTCTTCTCCCACAACTACCATCAAAAATTCCATTGCCAATGCTGAGGCAAAGCTGAATGAACGTCGTGCTCGCCTAAAGCGGTCAAAAAATGATCACAAGCTACTTATTTCCAGGTTGAAGAAAGAGGTTGATAACTTCAATACGCGTCTCAGTGGTGCTTCCGATGAAAACCGACAAAGACAAAGATTGCTACAACTTGAACGGACCATTAAACAAACCGAAGAAGCCACTGCTGCAATTGACATTCAGTTACTGAATCTGGAAGCTGTCCCGCAAAATGAACTAGAAGAGTGGAATTCTCGAAAGTGTGTCTTTGATCAAGAGATGGATCGTGTAAAATCGCTCAAGGAGGAGGTGGACAATGCAAGGATCATGGCCAGCCGTAGTGTAGCTTCAGCGAAATCAGAACTGACCTCGGTCATCCAGAAGCGTGAACGACTACAAGGGCGCCGACAACGACTGACTGAACAGCATGAGCGCATTACTAGTGCTAATAGCCAGGGTCTCAATGAGCGGGAACGGAGGTCGGCGGAACAGCTTGCAAAGGAACGAGAACGTGCTAGTATCGAAAAAACTTTCAACGACCAATTAACAAGCATTACTCGGTCAATTCAGGATTATCAAATTCGGACAACCCACATCTGGCAGCAAGTCTCTGCCGTCGAGCAAGGAAACCACCAGCAACAAATGCTGATGACTGCAGGCCCCCTCACACCGGAAGGTGATCTGCCAGGAACAAATCCCCCACCCCCTGAAGCTAGCACATCTACGATGTCCCCTATGCCCTCGACTACGAGGTCTCTTTCCGGCGCAATGTACACGTCTGTTGGGACCAATGAAGCGACAGGGCTTACTGACCGCCAAACTTCGATTTCTCCAGTTGTGACAACTTCACACTTGAGTGTGGAGCAGCAACCATACCCTTCCTCTCCATTAGTTACTGCAGCCCCTTTCTTTGGACCGGAACCAAGGACGCACCGCCATCGATCACTCTCCAATTTCTCTGGTGTTAACATGCCGGTAGACCAAGTCATGCCAATGCGACTACGAGACTCACCTGATTCTACAGAGGAGATTAACCTGAAACGTGCAATGCATTTTGGACTAAATACTCGCCGGTTTACTAGAGCCGGTAGCCAAGGCAGCGCTAGTGGTAGCGGAACCTGCTCTGGCAGCGGAAGTGGGAGTCCTCATTCCAGTCGAGAGAAATCGAGTTGGTGCTAAGGGTTGTGAAACGTCGACCACCGTTGCTTTTCCTCGTCCCCTTGCGCACTATTATTATTTCGGTTGTTATCGGTATTGCATTGACGTCCCGCTTTCATCTTCATCCGTGCCTCCTCTCACCTTGTCCAACATTTAGTCTGCTTTCGATGAAAAGGGAAGTTAGCGGCGCAGCGCTCTTGTGGAACTAGAAATCCCTATGCAAACCTACGCGCATTAGCTCTTTTCAATATTGTTACTGCCCGTCCTCGCCTATCCAGGTACCAAGTCTTCACTTCAAGTCTTTCAATCCAGCCTCCCACCATATAGAATGCTTCATATCTGGTACTTTTCGAAGAGTTCTTATATGCATGTTGACAGGCTTTGCCATTGGATTTCGG